TTGCATTTCCCAGCCTTGTGGCTCTCCCTTTTATCTTCATCATCCTTGACGGCTTTTCCTTTCACCAGTTTTTATCAGCCCCGGGTCCTGACCCAATCACCGCTCCTTTTGACCATCAGCAGCCCCCACGCCTTAAGAACACACCAAGTCCCTTCAGCCAGCAGCCTATAGCATTCACCTGGTGATTATCCACCTGCCTGACAAAGTCCTTCCTGGTCCCTAAGTACCTTGGTTTCTGGCCTGTGCGTTTGTCCCTCCCACCCCACCCCCCTTTTTTTTGGTCCAGTGTTCCGCCCCTTTGGGTCGAAAAAGATGCAACTTGACAGTCACTTCTTATGAGAAATGTACTGCCTCTACTGTTTCCTCACTTCATCTGCCCTTCCTTTTGCGAATCTCCACGTTTCTTTGAAGTTACTGATGCCTCCTAAGGCATCAAACACTCCACAGCTCACACAAGCATTTTTTGTTGTTACCTACTGATAAACGCAGTGCCTTCTTGGTGGTAACATTCTCTAACTACAGACTTCTCCAGTATGAGCTGCCTGGTATTTTAGAGTACATCTGACCCTTCCTCACCTTGCCTATTATTGTAGTCTTAAACACCTCATCACCGTAGTCCTGCACATCACTTTTGGCCAACTTGCCGTTCTTGAAAGTTGAGTAACTGCATTAAGACTTAAAATAGAAAAAAAAAAAAGTTTGATAATAACAAAGTGCATTCATTAGTACGTGCTGGTTAAAGACCAAGGCAATGAATGACGTTAAAAGCTGATACAGAACTGAGTGGCAGAATCCCCACAAGGACTTGAGGGCTCTTTCCAGCACCGCAGAACCTCTATAGACCTGGATGTTTTCCCTATATTTGAATGATAACCCGTATGGTGCAAGCCTATAGCGAACCTATAGCGAAGCCAGAGACTCTCCTTAACTTTAAGGATACCCTGTGTTTGATTAAGCATTTATGAAAGTCTGGCCCAGTGAGCGATAAATGAGTTCCACAGACACATCCTGTGGAAGGTAGTTCCATAGCAAGCAAAGGAAGAAAGTTGGGAGGTGGGGGACTCTGCCTTTTCTGCTTATGTGTTGAATTGTATCCTTGTTACTTGTGAAAAGTTGCAGTAGGAATTCCTGTATCATTGGTATGATGAATCTGTATAATGAAATAAACAGCCTCATATAAGGGAGACCTGATTGGATGTGGAAAACACAAGGCTGAACAGTAGTAGCACAGTAAAGAATAAGGGTTTGTGTTGTTGTTTTTGTGTGTGTGTGTGTGTGTGTGTGTGTGTGTGTGTGTGTGTTCTCTATTGCTGCACATCAAACCAGGTTCTCATACTCAGTATGGAATAGGATAGTGTAAGATGTGTTCTTTATATGGATGGCTCTTTTAAATTAGTCTGTCAGCCTCTGGATGGAATCCCATGGCTTCACATTGCCTGGAACAAGTATGAGTTTTCATACTTCCCTTTCCTACATTCCATCAGATTAGTATGAGTGTCCTTTAGAATGCTGTCTACCTAGATTAGAATAAACGTTTCCTTATAGAAATAGTACCCAGAAATATTCAAGTGCCAACTGGATGATTTACCAAAAACCATTTCTTCTAAAATCATTCATTTGCTTCTTTTAGGAAATGACTTAATCGTCTTTTTGGCAGATCAGAGTGCACCCTATTTTAAACCCAAGGTACTGGTATCCTTGAAGTAAGTACAGATGCTTATTTTGGGAAATATTAGCCCTGCATATATGAAAATGCAGTAGCTTGGGTTATGTTGGAAATCAGTTCTGTTCGGCTGTAGTATTGTGATACGTAGTCCCTACTTCTGAAGTCTGAGTAGTAAGCAATTTGTAAAAAAATAAATAAAATAAAGAAGGTGAGGACTGGTGAGATGGCACTTTACTAAGTCTGGTTACCTAAGTTGGATACCCAGATCTGAGTGGTGGAAGAAGACAACTGACTCCTATAAATTGTTATCTGATCTCTACTTATACACTGTGGTGCCGTCATACACACAACCACGCATGTGCAAGGCAGGGAGAGAGGGAGAGATACAAATAAATAGTTGTAATTTTAAAAGGACAAACAATTAAAAGTAAAACTTAAAAATAATCCATCTTTACAAAAATAAATCTTGGTGGATCCAAGTCTGTTCTGTGTTCCCTTGCAAATAAACATGCTTTCTTGAATGAACTGTGTCTCATCATGATAGTTCCTGCAGAAGCAGATAACTAACAAAAGTCCCATCATCTTAAAAATATTTTGCATGTGGAATAAAGATCCATGACCTCTGTCCTTCTAGTTCTGTTTTGTTTTTCTGTTGGGTTTTGGTTTGGTTTGGTTTGGTTTTGACAGAACTGAAATCAAGTTTTTGAAATTATCTTAATTTTTAAAATGTGATTTAAATAATAGTTCTTGTCATTCCTTTTTCATTGTTGTCTGTGAGGAGACATTGACCCCAGTGATAGTGAACCATCATTATTTGGGAACTCTAGGGACCAAGTTAGATATTCTCTCTAAGCTAATGGAGAAAGAGATGGGTCAGTGCAAACCAGTTGCAGCTTCCAAACAATCATGGGATTGAGCTTAACAACATAGCTTGAATAAAAT